GCCAATTTTACGTGGGAGAAGACCCGAATAGCCAAGGACCTACATATATGGTATTATATATATATATATATATTTAAAAATTGAAATTGAAACCTGATCCAGGATAAAAAGCGTATCTTAAAGTTTCCAAAGACACTTGCTCATTTTCTTTCCACTATTGCTAGATAAAACAGGAAACAGAATTCCAGTTTTGATTATATTCACTAAGCAGGCAATTTGCTGCTGTGGCATTGATCTTCCTTATCTTGCTTGCAAATGCTAAACAACAAAAGCAATGGCTTAACATGTTAAGCTCACTTGTTGTAACTGAAATATTTAGTTTATCACGAGTGTTTTCAGGATTGCTGTAGCTACTTGATCAGCTACAAACAGTATGGATCCAATCAAGCCATCTCCTGTTTGCAATTAACTGCAAGCCTTCCCCGCCCTAGTTAATTGCAGGTTAACTCCCCATATAAGCACAGACCTTTCTGCTTGCTATTCAGGCCTAAACGCTGTTTAGGCCTAGATGCAGAGCCCCGAGCAGAGCTGGAGAAGGAGTCCTGACGGCTGCAGCAGAAGAGGAGCTGAAGAGCTGTGTAAAGATACTCCCACGGAGCCAGCTGCAACTGTGAGTTGAGATAGCCGAGAGCCTTTTGAAGTCTCCAATTTCAGCTTGCCTTTTGCTGAGTTGAAGCACGCAAGCCAACATCTGAACTGTTGCTGCTGGACAGTTTCCCTCCCAGGAGCTTCAAGCCACATTTGCTGATTGAATTGTTTTTCACAGGTGACTTTTAGCTGTGAAGCCTATGCTGCTGCCCTTCTACCATCTTGATGATGTATCGACACCGAAGCTGCTTAATGTCATGTTAGTTTTTTCTTATGGACTGTTTCGGTATTGTGGAGAGGAATTTAGGGAGATGGCCTGGCTTCATTTAACCAAGATAAGACTTTGTTATTAATGTGCCTTTTTAAAGATATAGTGTTTTTTAAACATTTTGAAGTAAAGTATATTTTTATACAAGACTCCTCTGCTAGTTTTATTTCAGTCCTAGTGTGTTTGCTTGTGAGCTGGTTCACGGTTGGGACAAACCTCAACCCCATCCTGACATAGTTGGAGGCTAAATACTCTGAAATTTATATTTCACCTGTGTCACTACATAAACATTACTCTTGAGAACATCATTATTAGCATCAATTTTTCCAGGATTTTTTTCTTAAAACAGTAATAATGATTTTGGTCCTTAAACTGCAATCTTATGCATAAATTTTTAGAAGCATAACTAAAAAAATACAACAGAATATCAGAATAAATATGCATAGGATTGCATATTTGATAGTTTCCCTACCAGGCAGTACTGGATATTACTGAATTGTCTTGCAAACTCTATCTCTTATGACATTGTAATGCTAGTTTATGTAGCTCATTTAATAAGTGGCTCGCTTCTAATCCACAGCTACAAAAAGAAATATTACCCAAAGGTTGCTAATAATAATCAATAAAGAACGAACAAAGTAGATATAGAAATGAAAAACATCTAAAAGCTATTACATACTGTGTTTTCCTGAAAATATGACCTACCTCAAAAACAAGCCCCAGCCCAATTTTCACACCTCCACCTAATATAAGCCCTAGTCCAAAAATAAGGTCTAGTTAAGCCCCGCCCACCATCTGGCTGTATGAGGTGGAGCGAGGCTCAGGTGTAAAAATCAAGCTAGGGTGGGGGTAAGGAGCTGGAAGTGTCCCACGCGCTCCGCACCGGCTTACCTCGTCATGCTGGTGGAGCCACTTGCAGAACACTGCGAGGTTCATTGCACTGATGGAGGCACTCAAGGCAGAACACTGCAAGGCTCATCTTGCTGCTGGAGCCGCTTGCATGCGCAATGGCAGCTCCACCAGCAAAACGAATCTTGTAGAAAGCCTCGCAGCATTCTGATACGAAAGGTTCCACCAGCGAAATGAGCCTCGCAGCATTCTGCGTAGCTGCTGGAGTCACCGCAAGACGAGGCAGTTGTCAGGATGTTGATGGCCTGGCTGCGGGGCGCTCAGGTAAGCCAATGTGGGGCACGGGGGGACAGCTCCACACCCCCTGCCTTGCTTCATCCTCCACGCCCCTGCCTCGTTTTGTGGCCACCGCACCGGTGTGTTGCTCAGCCTATTGCTTCATCATGGCAGCAAGCAAGAAGAGGTAACGAAGAACGAAGTGAGGCAGTGGGGGGTGGAGTATGAAGCAAGGCAGGAGGTGCAGAGCTGCACTCGTGCCCCACAGCGACTTACTTGAGGGCCCTTCAGCCATGCCACCCATGCCAAACCCTTACCCCTCCCCAAGGCATCCACATCCCTTCACTAACCTGCTTTCCAGCTCCATTCCACTTTTGTGCAGGGCAACAAAAGTAGTCTGTGGGACTATGGTAAAAAAAAATATTTCAGACCTTCCAACTTCTCACGAAAAAAAAGATCTCAATCACCTGGTTGAGAACCACTAGTTGAAAGCAATTATGTCTAGGTGGGGGCCTTTAAGAGGTATTGGAAGTAGAATTTAGAATTCTGAGCCAACACAAACAAATTCTGGGAGTTATCATCTCAAATATCCAGACGGCACAAGGAGAAGGTCATGGGCCACAAACTAAATTAGCAAATGAAGGTAATATACAAAACTAGATTCTATGCAATAAGACAGTGCTAAAGATATTTTTCTGAGCTCTTGAAGTTGGCTGGACATATCATTATATACAGCTTGTTATAATAGTCATGAGGATAAGCTTTACAATGCCTCAGGAATGGTGGCTGTTCCCTGGGGAACTGTTCTAGGACTGGATCAAGGCACACAACTGTGATGCAGTAAGAATGGTGAGATGTTTTTAATTTCATTACAATGGGGTAAAGTTATTTGTCAAGAGAAAATGGTATACATTGTTGCACATAAAAATAGAATTTAAACTAGTAGTTTGAGATGTCAGCTGATTTGATGCACACTAATAGTAAGACATAAGTGATAAATACCAGTAATGGGCAGATAAGATTCATTGAATAATATGTAAAAATATGCAGCTTGGACTCATCCTCAAACAAAAAGTATCAGTATTTTACAAAGCTGCATTTTATGAAATTTCTTGCTGCCATTCCCCAAGAATAGTGTTAATTAGAACATTATAAACTTAGAAAAATTATTGTAAACAAACTATACAATACAAATTTAGACAAGCTGTAAGTTGAATCCCAAATATGTTGAGATTTGACCTCTTTCAAATTCCGAATTTTGTAAAGCTAAAACAGTCTACAAATGAAAAATATTCCAGCTAGAAAATCTCAGATATCATTAACATCAACTAATAAATTCTGAGACAATGTTTTATTTTGCTCATTAAAAGTAGGTTTAATTTATCATAATTGGCAATACACTCCAAAGTTTCTCAAAAATTGTTCACCATTAGATTCCCATTTCAAGAGTTTTTATATGCATTTAACCACATTTTGCTTTGTTCAAAAAAAATGTCTATAAACACAACAGAACATCATCATTTAGTAACTTTTGGTTGACTACCTATAGAAATCTAAATAATGATATACAACTTGGTTCTATGAACTATTCTTTTGCTATAATTTATATTTCAGATAGTGTATAAATCACTAGTTTAACCCTAAATAAGCAGAATAACTGACTTATTTTCTCTCTCCATTCCCAAAGGAGCAAGCAGGCCTTAACAATGAATTCAAATCAGTTACCACAATTATGAGATGTTGATATTTCTTTGATTACACACACACACACACACACACACCTTAAGTAGTGTCTGATTGTACATTAAAAAATTTAGCTGACTGCACAATTATTAAGGTTAGGTGTGCCATAAAGAACTTTTAGCATGTCTAATTCATTCTATCCAAGAGATGTCTGAAATTGACTACATCTGGAATAAATTAGCACATTTTTGCAGTATTGTTCCAGTGTAAATGCTAAGCTTCAGAGCAGCTATTGTAATAACCCAAATGCTTTAACAATGGCTTTATATTAATATGAGAAGGAAAGATGTGGAATTTCATTTCTACAAAGAGCTGTGGTCTTATTCACTCAGGAACTCTGGGACTTTCAAAGATCACGTTAAGGCAGCACTTTTTAAAACCAAGAAGACTATAAGTAGTACATAAATGACTTATAGCCAGCTATAAATTCCTAGTTCTGTTTGGTAGTCAAGGTTATTCTGATAGTCTTAAATTTCTTCGCCAGCTTTTTCCAGTTCTAACCAGATTGAAGGATGTAGTTCTAACTTTCTAAAAAAGACATGGACAAAAAGCAAAAGCAAAGCGGTGCTGAAATAATCAGGAGAGTGGTCAAACTCAAGTATAGAAACTATCTAGTTTAAGTTTACTGTGTTTTCTCCAAGGCTGCTTGGACTCAATCTCTGTGGGCTCCATGGGCTCAACCTCTATGGGCTCCATTTAGGATATATGATTCTACTGATGCAAGAAAATCTGCAGCAAATAAAGGCACATTAGATCTAGACCTCCAAAGACTTAAGGGAGAAACAGCTTTCTTAGCAACTGGGTGTTCTCCTCTTATTGTATAAACTTTCATTGAGTGCTTTATCCAGCAATCTCTTAGGTATTCTTCCACCATGTCTCTAACACCACAAAGAGAAAATCCTTGCAATCTCTTTCCAGTGGTCAGAGAGGCCTCTTCTACCCTCCAAAGAAAGAATGCCCAACGCAGTGCCTAACAAGACATCTCCTTTAAACATGTGCAGAGTGTCTCTCCTATTTCAGCCGACCAAGCCAAAAGATGTCTCGCCAAGCCGGATAATACGAGTCAGGAAGCCCGAGGCTTAAGCAGATCTTTCTGTAACATGCATTATCGTGGTCAAGGTGCACACGTGGGGGCTCTTACGCTTCGTTTCAGAACCAGAACTACCACCAGCCAAGGAAGGAATTAACGGTGAATGCGGAGCCGGAGAAGTTTAGGGTTGTTTTGGGTGGGGGGCGGAGGACGAAAGCCGAACCGTAGTTGCAGTGCTCTACTCACCCATGGTCTCTCACAGGCGGACAGATGGCTCGACTGCGGCGGGGGTGGGGGGCTGGGTGCGGCGGTGTGAGGTTGCTTTGCGAGGTCGACTTTCTCGGCTTCGGAAAGGAGACGGCAGGAGCCCAGCGTAGTCGAAGAATCAGCGCTCGAAGTCCGAGCTCTCTTCGGCTGGGTCCCTCCCTCAGCGACCACAGCCAAAGGGGCGGCGCCTGCGCTGAGCAGCCACCGAGGACAAGGCGGCCGGAGTGCAATGGCTATTAGTGTCTCTTTTCGCGCCTTTGTGAGAGGATGGGACGTGAGAGCTGCTGCTGCGCTGCCCTTTATAGTAAAGCGGCCGCCTGTTCTCCTGAGTAACCGGGTTCCGAGGAAGCGCAAAAGGTTGGAAGGGCGCCTCTTCTACTGTATCAGAAGCCAAAACTGGTTCGGGAAATCTGTGTCGAGAGTGGGCCCTCAGATCTGCCCTTTCAGACCGCTATCAGCACACCCCGAAAGGCAAGCCTAAATTTCTGTCATCTGCTCAGTCAACGAGGATTAAAGGAGCCAAAATATTTATAACGAAAGCCATATGAATGAATGAACTTCAATGAACTTCAAACGTGAAGTTCAGGAGACTGCATCACAAGAGCAAATAATGTTACAGCTGATCCTATCCCAGCTATTGTGATTTTGAAATGTGTATTCAGTGATTCCATGGGGCTGTGTAATAAACCATGGCTTTCCATAATGAAACCATGGCTTTCAGAATGTATGAACAGTCTCAAAACAGATTCAATATGCACATTGTGTGCTTAACTATGGAGAAGCCATCATTGAATAGGTTCATGCAACATGCAAAAATAGAACCAAATTTGTCATTTAGGTTAGTATAATACTGTAATAAAGGACAACAACTAGTAAGAGAACAAAGGATTCTAGAAGTGAACCATTGGCTAAGGGGTTGGTGTCGCCAAAATAACTTTGGATTCCTGGACCATGGTCCACGCTATTTCCACAATGGCCTTTTGACAAGGGATGGGCTGCATCTCACAAAACCTGGGAAGAATGTTTTTGGAAAACAGCTGACTCAATTTATCAGGAGGCTTTTAACTAAAATTGAGGGGGGAGGGTGACCAATCTTTAGGATCTCCAGGACCGAATTTCAAGCAAAAACCTCTAGAAAACAAATCAAATAATGAGGTAAGGAGGAATGGGAAGGAAGATAAACTCAAACACCATACGGGAGACATAGGAAGCATACTCAGATATAAAGATCTCAAATGCCTATATACAAATGCACAAACTTTGGGGAACAAACAGGATGAACTTGAATTATTAATACATGAAAATAGATATGATATAGTTGGAATTACAGAAACTTGGTGGGGTGAAACCCATGACGAACATGCTCATAGAAGGATATAAACTGTTGAAAAAACCCAGACCCCATAAAAGAGGAGGTGGAATTGCACTATATATAAAAGACCGCTATATTGCTACAGAAATGCATTAATCTAAAAACAAAAACCTCCTAGAATGCATGTGGATCAATATAAAAGAAACAAAGAATGACATTGCCATAGGTATATACTACAGGCCACCCAATCAAGCAGAAAAAAATAGCTGTATTTTTTGCTAACCAGTAAAAAAATACATGTAGGAAACACACTACAATAGTCAATTACCCTGACATCAACTGGAAGACTAATTCTGCATCAAGTGAGAAATTGAATAGGTTCCTGACCAACCTAGCTGACAACTTTGTTGTCCAAAAGGTAGAGGATGGAACTAGAGGGACAGAAATACTGGACTTAATTCTCTTGAACAGAGAAGAAATGATAGACGGAGTTGAAACTGCAGGAACCTTGTGTGAGAGTGACCACATCATACTGGAATTCAACATAATGCAAACACAAGCAATAGAACACTATGATATCAGACTCCTATATTTTAAAACAGCTGATTCTAACAAATCCAGAGAGAACTCTGGAAAGTATAGATTCCTTGGATGAAAATCCTAAAAGGGAAAACAACTCAAAAAGCTTGGGAAACTCTGAAAAATATGATCATAAAAGCCCAGTCCAGCATAATACCACTGAAAAAGAAAAACAAGAAATCCAAGAAGAAACCAGCATGGCTGCACAAAGATCTCTCTGATAAACTGAAAGACAAAAAGGATAAGTACAAAAAATAGAAAGAGGGACACATAACTAAGGCAGAATATCAGCAGGTAGCCAGAATCTGCAAAGATGAAGTCAGAAAGCAAAGGCTCACAATGAACAAAGACTTGCAACAAAAGTCAAAAAAATTAAAAAGTTTCTTTAAACATATAAATAACAAGAACTTTGGATTCCTGGACCATGGTCTGCACTTCTTTCACAAGGAAGTAACAGGCAGTAGAGAAAAAGCAGAGCTGCTTAACTCATTCTTTGCATTGGTCTTCACACAAAAAGAAACTATAGCCTAATCTACCAAAACATAACTGTAAAAGACAGATTAGAAATAAAAGTTAAAATAAGAAAAAAAATGGTAGTAGAACACCTGTCTGATTTTGATGAATATAAATCACTGGAACCTGACAGATTACATCCCAGAGTTTTAAAGGAACTGGCAGATATCAGCTCAGAACCACTGTACCATATCTTTCAAAAATCATGGAGCATCAGGGAAGTACTAGAGGACTGGAAAAGAGCTGATGTAGTTCCCATCTTCAAAAAAGGGAAGAAAACAGACCCAGCAAACTACAGACCAATCAGCCTAACATCAATATCCTGGAAGATACTGGAAAAGGTAATAAATAAACAGATCTGCTAGCATCTAGAAACGAGTAAAGTAATAACTAGAAGTCAGCATGGGTTTGTTAAAAACAGATAATGCCAAACAAATCATATTTCATTATTTGACATAGTGACTAAATTAGTAGATCAGTGAAATTCTGTGGACATAGTATACTTAGGCTTTAGCAAGGCATTCAACAAGGTAGACCACAGCCTAGTTCTTGGTAAGCTAGAAAAAAGTGGGATAGAGAGCATCACCATCAAATGGATTTGTAACTGGCTGACAAACCGTACTCAATGAATAGTCCTTAATGGTACTATGTCTACATGGAGGGAAGTAAGCAGTGGGGTACTATAAGATTCTGTCTTAGGCCCAGTACTCTTCAATATCTTCATAAATGGCTTAGATGAAGGAACGGAAGGGAATTTATCAAATTTGCAGATGATACTAAACTGGCAGGAATAGCCAACACCCTAGATCAGTGATGGCTAACCTTTTTGGAACTGAGTATACTGCATAATGCAATGCGGGCACAATTCCCCCCTGCGTGCCCCACTTCATGCACATGCATGCGTGTCCCCTGCATGCCCCTTGCCCCTGCACATGTGTGCATGACCCCTTTGCATGTGCCCTTCCCCCACGCATGCACGCGTCTCTCCCACATTTGCCCTGCCCCCCGCACATGCATAGCAGAGACCTGAAAACAAGCTGGCCGGCTGGAGGTGTACGCACATGCACGTGGGATGATGGTGCTACTTACCATAGGGTCATCTTCTCCTTCACTTTTGCTTTCATAGAAGACTAAGCTGGGTTTGTCATGGGTCAGAGTTCCCTCCCCTTTGCTGGATTGGGAAGTGACCTCCATGACCTGTTGAGTGCCCATATTTTCTCTTTTGGCTTCATGGGTAATTTTCTCAGCTTTGGCTTGGCGGGGCTTGTGGTGCAGATGCCGGCTGCAGTGCAAGGCAATCAGCCACTTGATGACCTTCCTTCCCACATCAGAAACATGCTCCTGGGCTCCTGTGGGACTTCTCCCCTGTGGCAGGGGGTGTAGCCCCTTTTCCTCCAGGGGGTGCTGGGTGTCTCTTGGGCATTTGACATGGACAGTTCTCATGTACCACATGTTCTTGATACTCCATCAGATCAAGTTCCACGTTTGTGGCTAACTACTACCATGCTGAAAGATCACGGGGCACTACCCAGGGTAGGCAGTTGTGATATAGCTCCTTGTTCAACCCCTCCTGAAATTGGTAAACCAGCATACACTTGGGCCAGTTTCTCAGATGAGACACCAGGCTGTGAAAATCTTGGATGTATTCTGCCACTGGCCGCTTGCCCTGCCATAGGAAAAGTATGTGAGTCTCTGCTCATTGGGCTGCTGTGGGGTCTTTGAATCTATCTCACAACACCTGCATCCAGATCTTGCAGCCCCCTTATTGTGATTATTATTGATTAAATTATCTTTCCATTGATATATAATTTTATGGTACTACTAAAAAAAAAGTGGTGTTCTTAGCCATCAAACCTCAAAAATACACTTTTCCCAAAAGGTTTCCACAATTTTGGCCACTGCTGTAAAACAAGCAAAAGAATCTCTGCTGAAGTAGGTGAACAAGGGAAATATCTTGAAAACAACGAGATTGAAAGCAGAATATTGAAAGGAAACAATTGAGCATCAAGTTTCTAACCGGAAAAAGAGCCTTGATGGCGCAGCAAACTAAAGTGCTGTTAAGTAGCACCAGCTGCCTACAATTACTGCAAGTTTTTGCAAGTTTCTCACCAGGCTCAAGGTTGACTCAGCCTTCCATCCTTTCGAGGTAGGTAAAATGAGGACCCGGATTGTGGGGGCAAGAAGCTGACTTTGTATAGAAAAGAACACCGCTGGGGTATGTGTGTGTGAAAGCCCTACTAAGCAGGTATATACAAAAGTATGAAGGCTATTGCTTAACACATTGTAAGCCACCCTGAGTCTCTGGAGAAGGGTGGCATATAAATAGAACAAACAAACAAACAAACAAACAAACAAACAAATAAATAAATAATAGAAGCCTATGCACAGTCAATACCAGAAAGATGTTGAAGGAAAAGTAGATACAAAGCTAACATGGAGATGGTTGAGATCAGGGGTGCTGAAGAAAGAAACTGAAGGCTTCATTTTGCCTCCCCAAGAATGACTTGCAGACCAATTCCATGAAAGCAAAAATTCAACATGTCAGTAATAACAACAAATGTCGCTTATGCAATGAGAAAGATGAAACAGTGAATCATCTTATCAGTGGCTGCAGCAAAATCTCACCAACTGATTATCTACAACACCATGATCGAGTTGCCAAAATCATACATTGGAAGCTTTGCCGGAAGTTTGAATGCAGCAAAAATTACTGGGAACAGCAAATTGACAAAGTTCTTCAAAATGAACAGGTCTTGTGGGACTTGTGGGAATCCAAACAGACAAACATCTGGCTGACAACATGCCTGACATCACTATTGTGGAAAAGAAAAAAGTCTGGTTCATTGATACCTGACACCTCATAGCAGGTGATGCACAAATTGAAGGGAAATAATTATAAAAAATTACAAAATACCACAACCTGCAAATGGAATTTGAGCAACTGTGGAGGAAGAAATCAATGGTCATACCAATAGTAATATTGTGGACCATTTTTCTCCCAAGTATCCCAT